CCCCAAAACCCCAAAACCCCAAAACCCCAAAACCCCAAAGGAACAACATACCGTTGAAACATAAGAATTCCTAATTTCATAAATTTTAAAAAATCTTCTTAGCTAAAACTTATTTTTTTCAATCCATATTCTTCCAAAATCTTTTTCCCTTTTTCTTTTCCAACATTAAAACTACCCATGTACATCGTTATATGTCTATTCTTCACGCTCTCCACTCTAGCCAGTCCCTCCACTATGTTCCTGAACTTGGTCTCATCATCTAGGTCTCTTGCCCAAAAGTTCATCACATAGTTAAACCTAGCCTCACCATCCTCTCTATCACTTTTGAACTTACTGCCTGTAAAATTTATGCCTTCAAAGGTAGCTCCTTCGAGCCTATCGCCAAAGTCCAACGGGTCGTCAACCTCAATTTCACAGCCTTGGAACGTCACCTGCTTTGTGTTCTTGGCTGCGACCAGGATGTCTTCAAACTCATCTCTGAGGAAGGAAGAGTCTCAAAAGCTGACTTCTTGAGAAGCCAGAGGTAACATCTTGGTGAGACAGGCCATGTAGGGGGTCATTGACAGAGGATATGTCTGAGCAATGGTGTCGATCTTTTTGATGAAAGGCAAGGGTGAGGTATAGCAAATTTCATCGCAAATTGAATTTGAGAGGAATTCATCCAAAAGCTTTATGTTCTGTATGTCCTGGCTTAAGCTGAGTGTGAGGCATTGGAGAGGAGGCATTTTGTAGGGTACTAGTTTCTCCATCAATTGGATGTCTTCTTGGTCAGTAAGGTTAAAGCTCAGCTTTGATAATTTTTGGATCCTCTGCTTCATTTGTTTGATAATGTCAGAAAAATTATTTGGGTTTGAATCTAGCTTTGGTTGTTCTATATTATCATTTATCGAATTATATTTCAAAATTTTATTGTGGAGGATAAATCCAGAATAATTAAATTTTGATTAATACATTATTTCGGATTTATTAGACTATCACTGAAGAGATAAGATTTGGACAGATATAAACTAAAAGATCGAATAAAATAAAGGCTATACCTCTATAATAGAAAATAAAATGCAAGAACAAGTCGGTAAAATTATAAAACATTGATTATAAAAAGTTGTTAAATTTAAATTATGAAAATAATTTTATTAAATTTTTGTATAGTTATAAGTCATGTAACACTCATCGGTTTTTTATTACAAAATAAGCATAAAACAGCAAATAATGTGGCTAAAATTTACGAGAAAAATTACAAGAGCTCAATAATGTTATTCAAATGTTACAGACCAAGTAAAATAGCGAAATAAGTTGATAAATAATCAAGAATTCTGCATGGAAGAGACTTTGTTTTTATAAATCTTTTCACTAAAATTATTTAGGAGAGGTGTTTCAAACTTCAGAAAAATAACCTCCATTATATTTTATTTTAGAAAATACTTTAAGGGTGAATATCTTAAGAATTTACTTCAGCTCTTTTAATTTTAGTAACAACTTTATTACTACAGAAGGTGTTTTGGTGAACCCATCTTCTAGCTCTGATTGGGATAGACTTAGCTCAAGTTTTAGTTAGACCAATTTTAATAATAGAAGAGAGCTAAACCAGCGTAACTCATTCTTGAGCTATGTCTAGCTCACCAAATATCTAGAAGCCTGTTTTACAAAGTTTCCTCTGTAGCATGATAAGAAATCGAACCTTATTTCTCAGAGTTTTAAGTCTCATCTTTAGTTTCAGAAACGATAATAATGAACTTTTAGATGACATAAGAGCAGATGAATTCAAATTCTCAACAACTATTAAGCTAACAACGTTTGAAATCTCAGACTAACCTTTATATTCTTCAAGTTTTCTTTCGCTCTCCAATCTGAGTTCCTCAGCTTTTGTGAGTTTCTCTTCTAAAAGTTTTACAAACGGAGAAATAATAGAATTATTAAGTTTATTATATGTATCTAAAAAATAATTTATTTCTCTAGATTGCTATCTTCGCTTTATATGGGGGTTTTAATTTAGATAGATCCTTCTTGGGAATGGTTAATATTCATTAATCTAAAACATTGATAAATCTTCATGAATAAAAATAGAAGTATTGGTGAAAGCTTAGTTTAGAGAAATAATTAAGAAATATTAGTAATATTTTACCTAAAGTTAATAGATTAATTCTCTTTTATTCTTTCCTTGTCCTTGGTTAGCTTCTGCTCGAGCTTGATTTTGTCTTGAGTTATAGCTTCTAAGTCTTGAATAAACTTGTTCTTCTCTTGTTCCTGTCTTTTTCTATCCTCTCTAGAAGTTGAATAGTTTTTAACAATCCTGAACTGTTGTTATGAATTTTATTCCAAATTCCTTTAAAAATAACTCACTAGAACAAATCTGTAAAATCCTAACAAAGCAATCTGGCCTTTTTACTACAAAGGTAGAATTTTTTGTTCTAACAATAACTAAGATATCTTTGTATTAGGTTCATACGATAAACTGTTTTCTTGTTTTATCATAATCTGTTCTGCATTTTCAAATTTTTTCTTGGTCTGAGCTATTTCACTGCTCAAACTTAGTATCTTCAAGTCTTGAGTCTGGAGTTTCCTCAGGTGTCGATCAATCTCCTGTTGCTTTTCATCTCACAGTTCACTTTTCTGTTCGTACTGTTTCTTCAGATTTTTGTGTTCTTCTTTGAGTTCTCCATACCTGGTTACATTAAGGTGATCTCTGAGTTTTATCATCTGTCCGTTAACCCACTTCTTGGAGGCACTGTACATCTTTCTGGTTCCATACTGATTGTCTCTGAACTGTCTGATGCTGTCTTCTTTGCAGTATTCTTTCCAGAGACGAGACTCCAGCACAGTCTCAAGAAGAGCCCTGGCTTCAACATGAAGATAAGGGAGCCTGTCCCAGCCATTGGTAGCCTTTGCTGAAGCCAAGTCATCTACAGAAGAGTCAATAAGAGTTTAATGGGCATTCTTAAATTGATACTCAAACTTTTATAATGATTATTTGTGAAGTTTGTAAATTCGATAATTAATTTTTTGTAAAATATGAGAGAATGAGCTAATATTTGAATACGAAAGTGAAAACTACAGCAAGAATGCTGTTAAAAGCTACAAAATTTAAGTCAATAAAAAGGAAAGTAAAGAATTCCTTCCAGAATACGCTTAGCCAAAAGATAACCAAGATTCTTTTCAAAATTCATAACCCTCCTCTTCTCTATATTACGAAAACATAATTCCCTAGGAATCTTAAACCAAAGTTTCACAAAGATAAAAGTGTGGAGTTTACTTTTGAGTTGGGCATGTATATCCTTGTACTCTCTCAGTTCTGGTAAGAGGTTACTCCATAATTTGTCAAGGTTATGCCATTCTCTGAAATGGTCAATCTTCAGCAGATTGTGTTCGACTATATCCAAGTTTAATAAAAATCATATAATTAAATTTTAGACAAAAAGAAGTATGCAAAATTTATGAAAGTTTCATAAATAAGAGAATCAGAAACTTCACATGGAGATTGGCAAAATGTCTAAATCTTACATATTTTTAGCAATAAAGAAACCAAGAACTTGACTAATGAGGTGTCTTACCTGCTTCTAATCAGTATAAAATATCTCCAGGGTTAGGAATTTGGACTATTGGTTCTGAAACGAATCTGGAGTTCAGACACTTTGAACACACAAACAAGTCTTCATTGTGAAGGCTTTGTGGAGTGCTCTTAACCAAATAAGCGATTTTCTCACAATCGCTAGAATATTCACACTTAGGAATTTTCATGATTATTTTAATTAATTATTATAAAATTTCATTACTAATTTTCTTATATGGGGTTTTGGGGTTTTGGGGTTTTGGGGTTTTGGGG